CAGGGAGAGAGTATCCCAGTGACACCCCCCCAGAACTGAGGAGACCAAAGGATGTGGAACTTTCAGTGCTAAAGCCAGGACAGTCCCAAGTAGCCACCAGCAGCTGGTCACCCGGACCTTCCCTGCCCAAGGCTCCCTCCTTGCTGCCAGCCTCCCTCCCTCCCATAAACACTGGCTTCTATTCCTAACCACCCACTGTCCCTGGAGCCCTCTGCTCTCCTCCTGTGATAAAATCCCCAGGAGGAAGCCATTGTATTATTAGAGGGCCTGCACCACCACACAGAAGGGATAGTAGCAGTAAAATGTCAGATTCCAGAAAGTAAAATGCTGCATATCGATGGCTGAATGAATCCAATTCTGTATGCTGTATGGCAATAACCTGTCATAAGGACAAAGTGTGTGTGTTGGGGAGAGGGGTAGAGGCAGGTTGGGGGAGATTAAAATGATTACACCAAACACTATGAGGATGTTTATACAGAATTTCCACATTCTAAATGAAAATCTAATGTAATTGACCCAGTTTCTTATTTTATGGAGGAGAAAAGGGTGGCTCAGAAAAATGACATCACTTGCTCAATATCACGCAGCTGGGAGACTCGCTAGGCTGGAATTTTACTCCAGGTCTAGGATTCTGTCCTCCATGATCTAGTTCACACGCGCGAGGAGTCAAAATGGCGGCCCCCAGTCAGCCCGGAAGGCTGGAGTCTCCTCCCCCCAACGCTCTCCCTCCTGCCCCCGCCCCCTGCTCTGCTTCTCACTTAACAGGAGCAGCGACTCTTGGCTGCTTTTCCTTTTAAACCACTTTATTGAGGCTGATGGATGTGGGACAGTTTCACGGGCCGGGGATTTCCTTTTCTCTGAACTCAATTGCTTTTAGTGCTGCTTTTGCATCTCCCTCCAGACATCTAACATGCTAATGCTGCTCTCTTTTGCTTTTTATTTTTTAGAGACTATAGATTTTCCTTCATGGAAGAATGCGGTGTCTCTTGAATACCTTGTTCCTCACTCCCCACCTGGTCCTAATGTCCCATTAGAGATCCATCATGAGTCTTGTTCAGCTCAATATTCAATATTTAAATCATTACAACCAAGAACATATTATCCACAAATGGGCTGTAAAAGGAAGTCTGATTCTGGTGTACATTTCACTGTGTAATCTTGGTTTTCTCCGGAGTTACCTTTTTTCCCTCGCTTTTTATCGTTTGTTCAGTGTTTGGTGTTTCTATCATAATGTGTCCTCCTTGTGATGGAGGCAGATCATGCTCCCTGTGTTCAATATATTTAAACACATCTGTGCACCTCACAGGATATTTCCCTTAGAGAACTTCAAGAGGCAGGAAAACCCATTTAACATGAAAGCATGTGCTTAAAATGAAGGCAGGGGTCAAAAGTCTGTGATGATGATGTAGAAGGTAAAGTCAGAAACATTATGTGAACCGAAATCCTACCTGCTTCTTGAAGAGAGAATCGCTGTCTAGACCCTCCAGTACAATAATCTGCAAGTTCTGAGCCAGGGTAGAACTTCCTGCGCAGCCTGCTCACCATCGCTGCTTTCTTCCCATCTCCAGTTTGCAGGGCTACTCCTCGGTGATGGTTAAATGTCTGCATCTGGACTACAAGTCCTGGCAGCTGAGGTTCTGTTCTTTAGTTCATCCTGGATGTGGAGGAGAAGGATAAATCTAACAAACAATGATGACAAAGGCCAGTGACTGAATCTGAAAAGTCTATCTTTCCATGAGTAAAGATTCTATGGATGGATGTTACTATCAAATTAAATAAAATGTTAATCTACAATTTGCTTCATTCAAGAATTTCTATGTGGACAACTTTGAATTGGATCTGTAGCTAATCCCTCCACATTTCTTTTAATTTCCTCTCTAAAGGACCTGAATGTAATTCCATTTAATGACATTATTTAAAACTACCCTGGTCATCACAAAAGGAAAGAGGGAGTGTCTGAGTCAGAGGCTTTATATTTCAGAGTAATGCAACGAACTCTTTCAGACTCACCCAGCCAGCTGCTAACTTCCTCTATGAAGAGAGTAAGGTAAATATTTCCAAAGTCCACAACTTAAAGTTTGGCCAGACACTTTGATGAGAGAGAGAAAGAGGGAGAAATGAATGAATCATGACAGTTTCTTTGTACCTGAGAGTCTGAACTCATCAGAGGCTGTGAGAATTGTTGTTAGTCCTGTTCTTAGCAGCTCTGTCCTCTGGTCTATGGCTGACTTGATGGGGTGTCCTGGGGAGAGAAGCATTTCCCTCCGAGCAGGCGGCAGACCTGGACATTTCCTGTGCCCTCTCGAAAGTGATTTAAACAGCCTTTGGGGAATGATGTTCAAATCTGGATTTTTATATTTCCAGTGCTCTTATTTAAGGCATTAGTAATTGGAATATGCTGATTTTTGTGATTTGAATTTTACCCTTTTAATTACATAACTAGGTACTTATGTGATTAGGGAATTTATCAAAATCAAGAACCATGTTTTTAGAAGATTTGAAAATATTTCTGTAGAGGAGTAACTATTTATAGTATTACATTTGACTTATGCGTTAAGAATAAAAATTAAGAATGCTCAACAGTAGTTATTCCTTCCCCCACAGGTATATTTTTATTCATATCTGTATTATATATAATACCAGAGATTTTTTTCAATAATGTACCATGAAATGTGATTCTCTTTCCTTGCAGAGATAAAATTATTTTAAGACTAGATAATATTTTGATCATATATTTAAAGCACATTATTTATTAGGTACGGAAAGTTTAGACACATGAAATAGTATGATAATAAGCACATTCTAATCTGTTTTGTCCCTCCTTTTCATTATGTTTTATTTTAAAATTATTCTTCTTTCTTTTGATTAGACTTACATGACTTTAGGAAGAACATGTCTATTTTTTTGTTTTGAAGGAAGGGATAATAAAAAAATCCTCAAGTTCACAGATATCATAAGTTAGCATACAGGCTTAGTCTTCTGTGGAATTTTAGATGCTCAAGTCTTGATGTTTGGGATTTAAAAACATTCATGAATAGTTGTCAACAGGGTGTCCTTTGTGTTAACTTGAAAATGATAAATGTGTTACTTATTTCTATATTAAATAAAATATTACACATATGAATATGGTATATTTTTATTGAAATAAAAAGTTAAAGCCAAGTTCTTTTATGATTTGAAAAGAATTTTCCTTCATTGCTCTGTTTGGACAATGGCATCCTACCATGCTTTCTGGAGCTTAACATCATTTATTTTCCTTTTCGTTTCCTTTTTATTTAACTAAGACCCAGATCACGGGGTGCTTGTATTTGTTGAATTTTAGTTTTTTTTTTTTTTGTTGGTGTTTATTTTCTTGAAAAAGTTACTGTGAAAATTAATTATAAGAGAAAAGAATAGCTTGGCTGATGTAATTTTGGCATATAAAATAAGACATTCAACCGTAAATATTTTGTCTATTTGCCAGTGGGGTTTAGACTTTCTATCAGAGGAGAAGGAAAGGATCTTGTGTTCATTTCTGGATTCATCAGGACACCTGCCTAGAAAAAGATAATAAACGTAATATGTGAAGTGGAAAATACTGCTTCATATTTATTTTCAAAGTGCATGAACACGCCTGTACAAGAACACTTACGGATCTATCATCTAGTGCCATTTAGAGCCATTTATCATTTTAAAAGTCATCACTTGAGAATTTATATTGTTCTAGGAAAAGCTTGGCTCATGTTTCTCTGTAATCATTATCTAATATGGCTTCTGTGCCACAGAATTCACCTAAACTATAAAAACACATACTCAACGGCCTATTTGCAGAGCAAATTCCTTTTCTTCTTTTCAGTACATTGATAGTTTTGTGTAAGTCACCAGGATGATTAAAAAATGAGAACACAAAAAATGTGATTATTGTTTTGAAAGTGATTTAAAGAATGACTTTTAAAAATATGAAAGTGTTTCCCCCGAGAGGGGAAAGAGAGCAAGACATCAATTTATAAAGTAACAGAAAAGTTGAGACTTGACCGAGGAAAAATGTTCTGGAAAGCATGTTTTGAGTTTGGGGACATAATGTTATGTATTATATATGGTATTTAAGTCATGCCACACTGGACTCGGCAGCTGGGTCTTCAATACAAGGTCACTTAAAATCTTTTGGGTCTTATTTGAAAGAGTCTAGCACTCATTATGTCAGTATATTTAGTTGTTCACAATCCTCTGTGAACTATAATTTTCAGTGTAAGTATTTGGAGAGGATTATGATAATTTTGCTTTTGAAGTTACTTTCCTAAGAATGACAATAATTTCATTTTCTATGATTTTTAGCAATCAACATGAATTCTTGAAAACTGGAGAAAACCTAGCCTACACTATCTTCCTGAAATTAAGGAGATTCATTAGAAAAACTTTATTCTTAAATTGCAGATGGTTGAGAAAGCAAGGATGATAGCTCTTTGAGTAGATTGTCTAATGTTATATTTACTTCCTGGAAACAGTACTTTTGCTCTGTTTCAACTTACAAGTCTGGGGCTATTTGAGAAGCGGTAGTAGTGACACAGGAATAGTACATAGTAATAGTGTAGGATGTCTATGTGAAAGTGATGGTAGAGAAAAATGGTAGCCAAACACACCAATATGTTCACTGAGGAACTGAAAAAAGAGCTCCCAAGGCCAGTGAGGACAGAAATGCCATATCAAGAGACAGGGGACTCTATCCCGGGTATGAGCACCAGCACATGGAAACACAAAACATAAAGGACATTCATGCAAAAAAAAAAAAAAAAAAGTATATTGTGATATTGATGGAAGAGAGTTTTAGGGTATTGGGAACGAGGATCCTGGGCCCAAGGAACTTCTCATTTTAGTTCTACATGATTCGATGCTCTGTCCAAGGCTGAAGAAAGGAAACTTCAAATCAAAAGATAAACAAATACAGAAAACGTAGTATTCGCAGAGCATGTCCTCTCAACTCACCTTGCTTTCTCGCCCTCCAGGCTGAGCTCCATTTCACAATGGCCTCCCTTGCTGCAGCAAATGCAGAGTTTTGCTTCAACTTGTTCAGGGAGATGGACAACAACCAAGGCACCGGCAACGTGTTCTTCTCCTCGCTGAGCATCTTCACCGCCCTGGCCATGATCCGTCTGGGCGCGCGGGGCGACTGTGCCGCTCAGCTTGATAAGGTCAGTCTCAGTTGTGATGCTTCCCACAGCTTCCACCATCATCCTCAGGGCAGTCTTGTTCTTTTCCAAGAGCATATTGATGGCAGAGTGGCCACACACATGCAAAACAGCCATCGCAATGAGCTGCTCCGGCTGTGTGACCAAGGGTCACTTGCTTTTGAAGCTTATAGGTCTTCTTTGAGCTGCAAGACTGCAGGAGTCTGGACTGCAGCTTTGATTCTTGTCCCTAGTACACATTTTCCAGCCCAGGAGCATCAGTGTCACCCGGAGAACTTGTTAGAATTGCAGATACTTGTGCTCCACCCCAGACCCACCGGCTCCAACACTATGCAGATGGGGCCCAGACATTTGTGTTTAATGAACTTGCCACTATATGCAAACTGACGTTTGAGGTCCACTGCCTGAGTAAATATGGAGGGGAAGGAAGCACCAGAAAAAAGATACCCGTGAAATCCTAGTTTAAGTACCAGTGACCTGGGTGCAGATGATAGGTGATAGTACAGCCCAGGGGATAGAAGCCCACCTGAAAGCTGATCAGTGTCACCACTGGCACCTTTAGGAAGTGCTTATTAACTCACTGTATTGGCACCAGCCAAGTCAGGCTTGCAGGGAAGTGAAATGGTCAAGGTTTCCATCCCTTCTCTTAGGAATTAGCCATAGACTTAGCAACAGATACTGACAGTGTGATTAGAGAGAGGAATGAAGTGTGCTGCCTTCATATTTGCACAAAGAATCCTCAGCCAGGCTTAGGTGTGAAGGCCTGAAGCCTTGAAGTTGAAAACCCAAACAGAGGCACAGAAAACAGACTTGACCAGTAATTGCATGTCCAGACAAAATTTCCTCACCCTGTGTCACATGGTTCTTTATCCTTTCTCCTCACCCCCACTGCTCATGAGCAATGGAGTCCCGATATAGCATAGACGGCCTGTCTTTTTGCAAAATTCCAACCAATGAGAGTCTTGAAGTCACAGTCAGTAGAACAAACCCACATCACCTGGGAGTTGTTTAGCTCATTCATACCATTGGCTGGAGGAATGTAAGTGAGTGTGTGGTCCCTGGCTGCCCCGCGCGGGGTCCATCTCCTCAGAGGGAGTGCAGGAGTTTTGGAAGTGACTGTCGTGTGTGCTATGCTTCATCACTCCCTGCGAGAGCAACCACTGCAGAGCCTACAGACATAGCGCTTGAGGAAATTCAGATAAAGTGCGATAGAAAACTTGCAAAAATGTCTTGGGCATAGCAGCAATTTGTAAAGTCACCAGCTTTTGAGAATCACACTGGGAAAGGTAAAACCTAAAATCACTTAATTTCAAACAATTGCTGGATCCTAACCTCTCCCTCAAGTACAAATTTAGCTTATATTTAGATCTTTCCAGATAGTCAATACCTACTTCTCCATTTTGTTTTGGTGCCTATGTAATTAGCCCTGATCTTTGCTCCCACTTGATTGGACAAAGTTTTCATTTGTTATTTTGCTCTTTTGTATTCTTGCCCAGCCTTCATCAATAAGTAATTATGAAATTTCTCCTCCAGAATGATCAGATGCAAATAATGAAACACATTTCACTTTGTGGCCAATGAATTATGAGACACTGGTTTATGCTACTTCCCCCCACGAAACCTCTGTGTTTTAACCAGGTCCAGGCAGGTGCACACAGCCTCCCTGACCTGCACACTGCATCCCTGCTCTGCGCACTGCCTCCCTGCCTGGTACACTACCTTCCTGCCCTGCACACCGCCTCCCTGACCTGCACACTGCCTCCCTGCCCTGCACACTGCCTCCCTGCCCTGCACACTGCCTCCCTCCTCTGCACACTGCCTCCCTGCCCTGCACACTGCCTCCCTGCCCCGTGTAACAACACACACAGCGCCACTGACTATGAAGTCTCAGCCCCTTGTTTGATTCTCCAGGTTCCTGCTTGTTGCGCTCACTGCTATTTTGTCCTTTGCTCGCAGATGCTGCATTTCAGCACCATTTCCGGGCGCGGAAACTCCTCTGACACTCAGGTAAAGACTGTCTGTTCTCGTAGAGCAAAAAGACAGACTGACTTTGGAAAAATTACTGTCTTATTGGCATAGCTCATTTTGCCCTTTTGAAATCAAAGGAACACATTTGATCTCATTTGGATTTCCATAGTGTGAATATTTCAAACACAAGGTTTCATAATTTACTTGTTAGCTATTTATTTAACAATATTTTACTTGTGTGTTGGCTAGAATTGATAAGTTAGCATGGAATGATGTGTCTGCTTTTATTCTTTGCTAATCACAGCCAACTTTGGTGAAATTTATTTAGCACACATACTAAATAAATTCATTATCTTCTGTTAATTTTATTTGGAGATTATTTTAGTAAATCCTTTAATTAACTTTGATCTCAGATACTATTCTGATTGGGGGAAGGCGTGGTAGGGGCATGCAGTGTTGTTACTTTTATAAGGTTGTTATTTTTCAATTCTTTTATGGTATATTTGTTGTTTTTTTTTTCATATGTAGATAAGAGTATGCGTATCTTTACATTCCAAGAATAAATTTTTATAATCTTTTAAATAACAGTCAGGACTCCAATCGCAACTGAAAAGAGTTCTCTCCGATATAAACTCCTCCCACAAGGATTATGAACTCAGCATTGCCAATGGTCTTTTTGCAGAAAAAGTGTTTGACATTCACAAGGTAAGCGCGGCCTCCTGTGCTAGAAGCGACTCTGTCCTGGGCCTGAGTCTCGGTCGACTCATGCTCTGGATATGGGTTCGCACTTTTCTACTTAGTCAGCAAACAAATTTTTTTCTTGTCACTACTAGTTATGCTCCCGGGAGTCTTCAAACTGTCATCACCCTGTTTTATCCAAAGTATTCTTTACTTCACCTGTGTGAGCCACACGTTCAGGGCCAGGGGACTGACAGACTCCAAGACAGAAGAGAACTTGTCTGCGGCTAGAGACATGGAGCTGTAGTTGGGAGGGGAGCAGGCACTAGTGAAGGCCGTCCTGGGGCAACAGAGGAGAAATCCTCTGAGCTTTGGGTCTACTCGGGTAGTTTTGCATCTCCAATGCCAAGATCTCTCTCCTCACTGCCTTTTGCCTCAGCCATGCCCATGTATCGCTCCTTCCAGGAGCTACTGACTTTTCAGCAAACTCCCTCATAAAAGGAGTTTTGTAAGTGGAGACCCGGCCGTTGGCAGAAGAGCAGTTCAGACTTGACACTGAGGTGGGGGATGGGTTCCTTTGAGGTTAGCAGTTTAATTTTAGTGTTATTGTACGTTGTTTGTGCTATCAGTTCTTTGATCATAGTGTCCTGCTCACCCAGAGACCAGTGAGCCCCAGAGTGCTTGCTACCTGTGGCAATGCTCTTGGGAGTGAATGTGCTTTATCTGCCTGGACAACCAGGAGCTGGTTAGTTCTATCCAAGCAGATGTAGAGGCCATGTTTGCGCTCGCTTTACTTCTCCATTGCTCAGAAAACTGTAAATCTCTGCCTCAGTGGTATCTCTCTGGTTTAATCTTCACTTACATATTTGCCAGCTCTCTGTGTTCCACCCAGCCACCATGCTTGCTCTATCACCCACTCGAATTCTTTGCCCCTCAGCACCACTCCCAAATCCCTTGGCAGCCTGTCAATTATGAAGCATTAGGCCACTTTGTATTTTTAAATCTTCCCCAGAAAATCCTACACAATGTTTATTTGGGGTTCCCTTGGTGATCGGTGCCACATTTTGCATCTCTATTCCCAAGCACACTGATATGTCCCGGAGGGACAGCCAGCTCTCATGGATGGAAGTTGATGTGTTGAGGATACTACATTGTACAGAACATCTCCATGGTCCTTTTTCTGGCACTCAGAGCAATGCACCCAGAAGCACAGGGAATGTGAGATCTGAGCAAGAACATGGAATATAGGGACAATGCCCATTCAACTCCCAAACATTTACAAATACAGTTTTTCTAAAAACTACTTGGATAAAAAACATAATAATCATCAAATTTTAGTTAGTCAACCCAGTACAAAGATAGATCAGCTCCAGACATTTTACATTTTGTTTTTATATCATTCTTTTAAAATCATCATTGACTAGGGATTCATCTACTAGAATTCATGAAAACAACAATAATAATTGTGTATAAATTATCTTTACAAAAACTGTAGTATTACAGAAGATGCAACTTCCGTCTCTGATACCTTGTTCTCCCACCTCCCTCAATCATGCTAAATATGCAGTGGGGACAGAGTTCTGTGGTGTTGTTTCATACTCCAGTTCTGTGCCCATTTGGGTCACTTCAGTGACTCTGAGGATGACTCTGCTTCCTGACCTCTCTCTGCCCCATAATTGTAACTGATGCCCAAGTCATGCCCGGAAACTCATCAACACCCAAACGATTCCACTTCTGAAATCTACAACTCTAATTTCCCATTTTGTGGTCCCATTATTCCATGGTTCTCTTTCCTTCCTTATTTTATCCCCACCTGTGTCCTGTTCTTTAACTGCATTGGATCATTCAGTCTCCTGATCTCTGTTTTCTCAATGCATCAGTTCTTTATTAGCTTTATTACCATACCCTACTACGTTAAGGAACCATTCTTTAATCTATGATCAATAGTCTCCTCCCTAGAAAGCCCTGAGTCCTGATTAGTGGCATGAATTCCCTCAGCTGTTGTGCTGAGCATCAAAATGCAAAAAAGAACATCACACACAAAAAATTAACTCAAATCCAAGTACTATAGAAGAAATGTTTTTCTTCTAAATTATTTGAGATGTCTTATCACATTTGAATATTCCAGTGTAATTTTACAATGAAATTCTGCTATATAACCATGATACAACCATATAAATCAGGAAATTGGCATTGTTACATTACTATCAGCTAATCACTAGACCCATTTGAGTTTCATCATCATCCCTACTTCGCTCCTTATAACAGAAGGATTTAGTTCAGAATCATGCATTATATTTTGTTGTTATGTCACATTAGTCTTCTTCAATTTGGAATAGCTTCTTAGCATTTCCTTGATTTTCATGATCTTGACCTTTTTGATGATTATTTGCAGGATCCAGTTTTAGACTGTCCTTCGGTGTGGCTTTCCATGTCTCTTTGTGATTAGAGTCACAGTTTTTGTAGTTATATTGAGATATAATTGAAATATAGTATTGTAGAAATTTAGGGTATATAATGTGTTGATTTGATCATCATATTTATTGCTACATGATTATCACCATGGCATTAACTAGCAACTCCATCAATTTGATAAAAACATCACAGGCATAGTGCTATATCCATTACATTATCCTTATCAAATCCTGTAAGTGTATTGATTTATCCTACTGGTGGTAATGCTATCTTTGATGACTTAATTAAATTTCTTTGCTGTGAAGTTACTCTTTACCTTTCTTGTTCAGTAATTTTTTTTTGAGAAGTGCTTTCAGGTTGTGACAAATGGATTTACCTTGAATGTATTAAACTAAGTGAAATACATCAGATGGAGAAATACCTATGATTTAATTCATACTAGAAACTAAGCAAAAAATTAAACAAAATAAAATGTAAACAAGTTATTAGATATAGGAACAGAATGGTGGTTACCAGAGGAGAAAGGTGTTGAAGGGAAGGTGAAATGGGTGAAAGAGATTGGGTGAGTGGTGATAGGTGGAAACTAGACATTTTCTAGTCTAGTTTCTAGTGGTACTCATGATGTAGTGTATACAGATGTCTAATACTGTAAACTTCAATTTATATAATGTTATAAACCAATGTAACCTTAATAAAAATTTATAAAAAGTGAAAAATGAGTAACATAGCCCAACCATCATGATATAATGATGGGGCTCTGACTAGTGAAAACTATTTACTTTAATTTAAAAAAAAAAAACCCACATTTTTCTTGACCACAAGAAGGGGTAATTTCAGTGGGCCCCCTCACATTATAATTACACGAAGAACAGTCATTAACTCAAGCAGCTGACAGCATCAATGCAGGAGACAGTGAAGTGAAGTGTTACCCCCTTCCGGATGGTCCTAGACATGTGATGGGAAGGGACAATAACAACCCACAGAGTTTAAAGGTTCTTGAAGGTTGTAGTTCCCAGCCTTAAACCCTGCTGCACCACATGCCGTATCAATCAAAGAGCTTCTCACAAGCACTGGATCACATGTTTACTTTTTATTAGCATTCAGGTATAATGAAAAGCATGGCAGGCTATGAGTCAGAAGACCTGAGTCCTGTCTCATTTCATAGTTCTGTGTCTTTCAATAATCAGTTGATCTGTCTAGATTTCAGTTTCCTCATTGAAAAATGAGAGAATTGTGTTACATAGTCAATATGGATCTAAATTCTTATCATTTAATATTTATCACTGAATCTTGAATGAACATATTTTTGGAAAATGGAAATTAGACATAATAATGTCTTGGCAGCTAAAATTAAAGTGCCACTAATGTACCCCTTTAATTCAATATTCAATAACTATTTCCTGTGCACTGATCACATATAAAGAAGCATACAATATATGGTGGGATGAGTAAGTAATTCAATGTTGATTTAACATTTAAAAACCAATAAATGCAATTCACCATATTGTGAGATTAATGAAGAAATAACTCAATATCAATTCAATAGGTGCAGAAAATAAAACTTTCATAATCTAGAAAAATTATTGTCTACATAAAATATTCTTGGTAAAATATCAAATGTTTTCCCCTTGACATTAGGAGCAAAAAGAGGACATTTTCTGTAAATATTACACTGGAGGTCATAAACAATAAAACACTGAGCTGGGGTCACAGATAGGGAAAAAAAAGAAGTAAAATCTTTTTGGATTGGGAAAGAAGCTCTCATTTTTCACAGATAACACTTGTATATATAGAAAATCTGAAGGATTTTATAATTAGATATAATAGTGAAGTTTGCAAGGTTAACATAAATAATTCATTTATATTTCTATGTACTAATGATAATTAGAAAATTAAAATCATCCTATCTATACTATCTACAGGAGAATTATAAAATATCTAATACCAAGGAATAAATCTAACGATAGATATACACAAAATGAAAAACACTGCTAAGAGAAATCAGACTTTAAAAAGAAAGGATACATCATGTTTATGGGTAGTACACTCAATGTTATAAAAATTATTCCCATATTTATTTTTAGATTTAGCAGCTAATAATTTTGAAGAAATTGACAAGATAATTTTAAAATTTACAAAGAATTGCAAAGAGTAAAGAAAAGTCAAGACAATTACGAAGAAAAGGACAAAATTTGGAGGACTTATATTACTGAAAATCAAGGCTTTAAAAACAAAAATAATTAAAATTTGTGGGTATTTTTTCAGAGATTGACAATAGACTAGCAGGACATGTATTGTTCTCAAGCAAGACTCACACATAGGAACACTTGACTTATGAGAAAATGATTGTGTATAACAAATGACATTGGTTCAACTAGCTAGACATATTTAAAAATGCAGATTGATGCCTATCTAATTACCAAAAAAGTAAATTACAAGTGGATCATGAATACAAAATCTGAATGGTAAAACAAAGTTTTAGAAGATAAATATAGATTGTTATCCTTATAATCTTAGATAAATTTTTCTGTTTTATAATGTATAAAGCACTAGTCTTAAGATATAAATCATGTGTTTCTGTACACTGAAAATGAACTATTAGAAAATAAGTTAAGGGAACAATCCATTAACAATGGCACTAACTAACTAACTAACTAAATAAATAAATAAACAATCTAAGAGTAAATTTAACCAAGAAGGTAAAGGATCCTTAAACTGAAAACTATAAAATAATATTGAAAGAAATTGAGGACAACACAATGAATGGAAAAATAATCTGTGCAGTAGATTGGGAGAATATTGTGAGTGTCCATTTTACCTAAAGCAATATACAGATTCAATGCTGTCCCCATTAAAATTCCAATAACAATATTTTCACGGAAATGAACAAGCAGTCCTAAAACTTGTATGGAACTACGAAAGAGCCTGAATAGTCAAAGTAGTCTTGAGAAAGAAGAACAATCAGAGGTATCACACACGCTGATTTCAAATTATGTTATAAATCTACAGCAATCAAAAACAGTATAACATTAGCACAAAAACAGACACAAAGATCAATGAAGCAAATAAAGAACACAGAAACAAACTTATGCATACATAGTCATTTAATTTATGACAAAGGAAGAAAGAACATACAACAGAGAAAGGACAATACATACAATGAATGATGTTAGGCAAACTGGACAGTCACATGCAAAGGAATGAAACTAGACCACATTCTTACATTGCACACTCAAAATTCACTCAAAATGAAATAAGGTTGGAATGTAAGTCTTGAAATCATAAAACTCCTAGAAGAAATCAGAAGTGGTATACTCCTTCACATGGGTCTTAGTGATGATTTCTTGGATCTGACTCCAAAAGCATAAAAAGCAAAAAATGAATAAATGTGGCTATATAAAGTAAAAAGCATCTGCACATCAGAGGAAATCAACAAAATGAAAAGGCAACCTACTGAATGGGAGAATATTTGCAAATCACACATCTGACAAGGGATTTAATATTCAAAATAAAGAATCCATATAACTCAAATTTTCCACAACTTTTCCACACATAGACACATAAACACATACAATGGAAGAATACTCAGCTATTAAAGAGAATGAAATCTTGCCATTTGGGGTCTCCCTGGTGGCGCAAGGGGTTAAGTCTCAGCACTATGAAGCTATCTGAAGCCACTGCAGCACAAGATAGATCCCTGCCAGGGAGCTACCCACATGGCGCAGCAGACCTCTCCTGTCTCGCCCGCTGCTCCCCGCAGCAGAGTATTTCAGTCAGTCTGCCTGTTCTGTTCCTTGCTCTATCTCTGGTGAGTCCTCTCACCCCAGCCCCCAACACACACACCTCTGGCCTATACCCCAGCTCTTGTATGCATTAATAAATAAATCTTAAAAAACAAATAAATCTTGCTATTTGTAACAATATGAATGAAACTTGAGGGTATTATACTGAGTAAAATTAGTCTGACAGAGAAAGACAAATATGTGTGTTCTCATCTGTGAAATCTAAAAAAGCAAACAAATAATAACAGCAAAACCAAGCTTGAAGACATGAAGAACAGATTGGTTTTTGCCAGAGAGGAGGAGAGAGGGGAGCTTTGGGTAATGGAGTAAAGATGTATAAATTTCCAGCTGTAAAATAAATAAATTATGGAGATCCAATATAAGCATGTTAATTTTATAGTTAATAATATTGTATTGCATATTTAAAAGTTGCTAAGACTATAAATCTTAAAGAAAAAATGTTAATTATAGAGGGCAAAGGATGATAACTAGACTTGTGATGATCATTTTGCAATATATTAAAATATATAATCATTATGCTGTACACCTGAAACTATGTTACATGTCAAGCTTACATTAATGAATAAAAGGATAAATCAGATCACATAGATGGCATTAGAGTTAAAAATATTTTTCATTAAAAGACACCATAAAGAGTTACAAGGCAAGCTACAACTTGCCTTCTAAGGCAAAACATATTTCCAGTACTGGGCCTCCCCGGTGGCACAGCGGTTGAGCGCTGAGTTGCGAAGTTGCCCGTAGCCTCTGCAGCGCTGGTTTGATCCCCCGCCGCCACTGGCGCGGGTCCCACATGGCGCGCAGACCTCTCCTGCCGCCCGCTGCTCCCCTCAGCAGTGTACTTCATCAGTCTGTCTGTTCTGCTCCCTACTCTGGCTCTGGCGAATTCTCTCACCCTCTACCGCTTCTGACTGTACCCAGTGCTTGTATAAATAAATAAATCTTTAAAAAAAAACCAACATATTTCCAATACATATAGGCAATAATAGATTGATAACCAAATACAAAAACTCCTACAAAATAATACAAAAATTCAAACAGCCCAGTAGAAAGTTTGAATGGCATTTTGCAAAATATTTAAATGACCCATAAACATACAAACCATCTACCTCAATAGTTTTACTCTTTGTCATTTTGGTTTCATTTCCCCTTTTAATGACATAAACAACAGTGTTTGAAGGAGATTGATAAGACAGAGTAACTGAACAAAAATTTTATAAATATAAATACAAATATAAATATATATATATATATATATATATATATATATATATATATATATATATATATATATATATACTATTAGTAGCCCATCCCATAGCTGTTTTACTATTTTCTGGGAATGAGGGAATCCTACATTCATGAACTTCCCTGGGCCAGAGATTGGTTTCTAAAACTACTCTTTGTAACCGTGCTGGAATGGATTCATGGTTGGGTGGATGGATGGACGGGTGAATGAATTAATCAGGAGATGAAAATTTCATCCATGGAAATTACACACAAAGCTATCCTTATGGAAGTAATGCCATCCTGTAGACAGACAATGGGTCAATATCTAATTCTAATTATATGGGTTGAAAATCCTCTAAAACTTATTAGGGTACCCTCTGACAATATTTGGGTGTTATTTTGCAAATTATAAAGATATTCCCCTCAAAATGTATATATGTGTATATGTTGTACTGCTGATGTGCTGATTTAGTTAAGTAGTTATGATTTCTTTTTATGAAAAACAAGTATTTCCTGAGTACCTAATATATACAAGGCAATGTGCTGGCAATACAATAATATACGAGTCATATATGGTTTTCCCTGAATGTTGTGGCTTGTGAAGAGTTCAGAAAAATCTCAAAAGTAAGCAGGATGCAGTATGATAACAGCTAGTAAGAAAATGAAGGTGAAAGGACTGTTAGAGGACATAGGGAAAGCCTTCTAGTCAGGAGAGGCATCTGTGCTTAGTGTTAGATAATGAGGGAGGCTGACCATGGGAACAATGGGATATTCCAGGTAGAAGAATGCTGTCCAAAGGAGAGAGGACACATAGTACTTCTGAGGAGCACCAAGTAGTTGGTTTGGTTAGCGAACAGAACATGAAGGAGGTGGCTAGAAATGAGGTGAATGAGGACATCAGCAGAGCTTTGGGGTTTGGACTTTAACTTAAATGCAAGAAGTTGCCTTGGATGGTTTTCAGTAGGAGGGAAGTGACACAAGCAAGGGAAACAGGAGACTGCCTAATGTATTTATGGTGAGAAAGCAATGGTAAAGCAAACGGGTGGACTGTAACGACCATTAGCCTCCCCCAATCCATTTCTGATCAACTTAAAGCAGTGTGCTTGCTCTGCAAGTTAAACTTCAAGTCTCCAGCTCCCCCTTTCAAACCTATTTCCATATTTCTAGCCTTATTTCTTTATATTTGAAGCAGGAATAAGTCCTTGGGTAAGGCAGTGAATGAACAGATAAGTTCAAATATATATATACATACGCGTGTGTGTGTGTGTGTGTGTGTGTGTATATATATATATATATATATATATATATATATATTAAACTTAGTTGCTACCAGTTCATAAATACAAGAACCGTATGTTACTCACAGAATGCGTACTACTTATATTTTTAGAACTTTATTGGGTGTGCGGAAAAATTATATCATGCCAAAGTGGAACGGATTGACTTTACACATGATGTAGAAGATACCAGATATAAAATTAATAAATGGATACAAGATGAAACACATGGTGAGTGTAATCCCCTATTTACTTTGCCACAAAATTTACCAATTGTATGTGAATGCTGACAGCTGTGAACTTTAAAGCTGGGAGTCTTTTGTTCATATAAAGAATAGCTTCTCCCAATCTACAGTAATGATTGTTGTTATTTAAATTGCTTTAGTATTTGTCTGCAGTGTGGTTTTGGGTAATCTTATAATTTGAATGCTTTATCCTTTTTAGAAATCTTGTCTATTACATGATCTCATTCAATTGGGAACAATCCAGTGAGACAAATAGATTTTATTATGAACATTTCGTAAGTTAGTGACAAGTTGAAGTAATGACTAGTTAGTGAACAAAGACTAAGAGCGGTCTGTAGGATGTTATTTTCAATGAACACAGCATAACACACCAACCTGATGATCAATCCAGTGTCTTACTGTAATTTCTTGACTAAAAAAACCCATTAAAATTATGATGTCCTGTTGTCGATGACATATATTTTCATTTCATTGCTTAAACAATAGGGAAATGTATTCATTGTTTTGTTAATCAGCAAATTCCAAAGTTAGTAAGTCCTTTACCTCAGACTGAGGCTTGATTTATACTCTGAGAAATATACCTTTGCTGAATCTGACTCTGTCTCAAAAGTATGAAACACGTGATGTGCATTCTTAAACATAGATATTTAGTTCTGGCATAAGAATAGTGTCTCAACTTTTTTTTTTGTTCATTCATTTATATAATATCAGCAGATGATCATTAGTAAGCACACACTTCACTATTTATTAATCAAGAGAAACTAGACAATTACTTTCCTAATAATGGAGTAGGATTCTATTTAGTGTTTAGCACTTAAGGGTATTAGATCACTAATACTAATACCAATTATTTCTCTTCCTTTCTGTGCAAATCTGTATCATTATTCTCATGTCTACAAACATATGTTCTCAATACTCATGGGAAACACTTCAAAATGCTGCTAACATCCCACCAAACCCACCCAGTTCTTATTTCCCCCCCATTCTCCACAGACTGCCTGAGCCACGCTGGCAAACCTGGTTCACTTTCCTCATGCACTTTCTCCTTTGCAGTGAATTCTGAGCAATCATTTTTGATCATCTTCAGGACAATCCAAAATTCTTTCCAGACATTCAAGACTCTTCATTAGTTGACCTCTGCCTCCAAACTTCCCAACCTCACTTTCCCTAACACATTGAAATGAGTTGGGGTTTCCCCAATTATGCCTCAGTTATCCAAGATACCTTCTCTTTGAATAGTCTCAGCTTCCCGGAAGCTCTGCCCATTCCCCACCTTTGCATCAGCTCAATCAGGTGGCCAGTCTTGTTGGCTGTCCCTGTCCTGTCTGATGCACTACATCTGTGCTTGGTGGCTGCCTCCCCTGAGCTGAACTGTGAGTCCAGGGGTGGCAAGGACTGTGTTTTTCATTGTTATGATTCAAGTTTCCAGCGCAGTGCTTGGCATCCAGCAAAAATCTCATTCATATGGAATGAAGTAATTAACCCTTTCAATGGAATGGAGTTAAATTATATTGTGTTATGGCCTCCTCAATGCAGTAAAGGCAGTTTGGTGCCTATAAGCAGGGAGAGGCCCTGGGAATTGTCTTCCTGGGTGGGAATCCTGTTGCCATAACTCTTCTGTCGTGTGACTTTGTACATATTACTTAATCTGTCTGTGCCCCAGTTTCCTAAATAGGAAATGGACACAACAATAGGGCTTACCTCACAAGTATTTTGTGAAGAAGAAAGAAAATATTGCACATAAAGAAATTAGAAAGTGTTGGGCATAGTAATTGTTCAAGATTATTACTAATATCATTATTACAATAATTATTACAAGGAAAAACCTCGTGATTATCTAATAGGTCTTTATAAACATTAAAACTTGCATTAAAATGAACTAACAAATCACAACAAAAATAACTCTAGTATTGTGAAAAATGTGATTATCAGAGGGAAAGGGAAGGGCTGGGAGGAGGGGGGCAGAGGGGCCTAGAGGAGGGGCACTAGAACTTTGGTTGGGGGGGAGGTGACGCTTATATGTGTGTAGAAGGGTAAAGCTTCACTCCCAGAGTTTACACAGAACAAGTTACAGTAACAGCAAACGAGTAACAAGTCAATACACTAAAATTTTAGTTAAGTATTTTTATCAATTTGCTTTTTCAAAGGAAAAATCAGGAACATTTTCCCTGAAGGTAGCATAAGCACAGCGGCTGTGATGGTGATGGTGAACGCTGTCTACTTCAAAGGCAGGTGGGAGTCTGCCTTCACCAAGCGCGATACTCTCAACTGCCGTTTCAGATCTCCTAAGGTATGGAAATCTATTTTATTTAGGACTTTTTTTGCCAGTAGTATTCCTCTTCAGAGGATATGTATTCACAATGGAGTCACCATTTCTTATTTCATTTCTCCTAGGGCTTACTGCACAGTCACTATACAGTTACTTGCTTATAAAACAAATTTTTGAATTTTCCTGCTCCTGCAGGTCATGGAGCAGAACTGGAGGTCCTGTAAATTGATAATTCTTGAAATATATTCAAAATTGGGAAAAATAACAAAGTATGGATTCAGTTTATGAATTTTAATTGGGAACCTGTATGTGAAAATGTAGCTTTTTTGTTTTTGTGATTCTAATTGTGGGGCATACCAGTAGCTATGATTTTTTTCCTGAGTCAAAGCAAAAATATGTTTCCTTTCATAAAGGGAAAAGTTGTATTTCATAAAGTTATGCATCTGTTCCTTTATTTAATTCTATTTGACTTAAAACATCTTAACCAGACATCATGAAACAACAATATTTATGATCAATTTGTACATCATCATTTTAGTATAGAAATGTCAAAGATCTTGACTCCAGAAAGAACATGTGGGGGTCCTTACCTCTTAGAAGCTGTGTCATCTTGACCACTGCAGACTCCCTAATCACATGTGCAATAGAATGATTCCATGAATTGATCTCTGAAATTCCTTTCAGAAATCAGACTTTTCAGAAATTCCGATCACTCAGCCTTTTATGTTGAGGCAAGAAAATTCAGAATTAACTTTTAAACTGAGTTTTATTTTTTAAGTGGGAAATAGCATTATTCAAATAGTTTTTCCGCATGATAAGCTTTAGACACCAGAGTACTGAGAGCTGATAAAAATCAATCAAATATCAATGAATGAGTGAGGGGGTGGGGAATGAAAGGCCACCTAGGCAGGGTATGGTAATGTTCTGGAGGAAGAAAGGCGTCGAGGGTAGGGTAGAATGGGGGCCAGGACAACCTCTAGCCTGGTTATAGGGACTAGCCCCCAGCAGCCTACGTGGAGAACAGCCTATCTGCCCTGTGTCAAATATTTTGAGGAATAATTTGTTTTTATAAGATCTCATTCTTAAATGGTGTGGTTTTGATGATCTAGTCTTTTTTTTTTTTTTTTTTACTTCTGATGAGAGAAAGAAAAAAACCTATAGTATTTATTTTTAATTTTAATGCTATTTAAAAATTATTCATTACTTCTTATATGGACATTTTCAGATAGAACACTAAGGCACTGCTCCAAGTGCTAGATAAATTAGAATATATCCACATAATTCTTAAAATAATCCCATGCAGTAGAGATGACTGTGGAGTAAGTGGAGGCACAGAGAGGTGAAGTAACTTACCCAATGTCACACAGCTGGGGAGTTTTAAACTCAGTTATACTCAAAGTCTGTGCTTTTAGCACTAAGATGTGCCCCAGCACAACCACTATTTGCAACATGTCAAGGAAATCTCTATAGGAGCAACTGAGCAAAAATTGAAGCACTATTCTTATTTCACGTGGTTAATAAGTGAAATGAGGTGTGCTTTATATATATATATATGTGTGTGTGTGTGTGTGTGTGTGTGTGTGTGTGTGTGTGTGACTTGACTTCTTGACTTTTAGTGTCCTGGGAAAGCAGTCTCCATGATGCATCAAGAACAGAAGTTCAACATGTCGGTCATTAATGACCCACCGATGCAGGTCCTTGAACTCAGGTATCATGGCGGCATTAGCATGTACATCATGCTGCCTGAGAACGAGCTCTCCCAGGTAAGCTGCTGCTGTCACTTTTGCTGTTGGGAAAGGCTTTTAGGATACTGTTAATTCTGTGTTCATCCATCAACTTGAAGATTTCAAGTCATTTGGAATACTAGAGACTTGTGCATTTATTCATTGACTTAGCAAATATTCAGAGCACCTACAAAGTGCCAGGCATGGTTTTAGCTGTTGAGATTTTACTAGCTTTAAAGTTGGGACCTTCTGAAATCTCAACTATGGAGTGACCAGGGCATGAAGTTCAGTTTTCCTTGCCCTTAGCTATGAAAAACACTTTTTTGGTGTATTATTGAGTGATAAGCTAAAAACTTCAGGTAGCAGGAATCGAATGGCATTTTTTGTGTCTTTGAGTGTTACAATGTATGGTCTCACTCTGTGCTGAGCCTCCAGGAGAAGCAGAGGCTAAGGGGTTACCCTGGAGGGGTGTAGCAAGAGCTAGGACCAGTACAGGCCAGCAACCCCCCAACCCCCACTGCCTCACCCTCAGGCAAAACAGAGATCATGGTGGTAGCTCAGGTCCCAATCCCCTGTCAGCCCTGCGTCCTCTTCTCCTTGTGAATTTGGTCCCCTGAGTCTGCATCCTGTCTCAGCAGCGGGGATTTCGCCTCCCATCTGTGTGCTTCCAATCCACAGGGATATTTATTGAGCCACTCACTGTGTGTCAAACCACGTGCTCTGCATTTGGTTAATGAGATCTGATTTGATATGAACAGCCAGGAAGCTGTCATGAAGTTGGCACTGGTAAATCTAAAGTGTGGCAACATGAAATATTGTTACTCAGTAAGTCAAAAAATTAAGTTGATAAGCGTAACCGTCAGATTTTATAGCTTTAAATTATTTTAACTTCAAAGAATCTGCAATAATAGATAAGTTGTTCAGATAAAACAATATATTTATATATTTCAGAAGATAGGTTTGTTCTTCTGCTTATGTCCTGAATTTTTTTTCTATAGTAGATTGTCCTAACGTACAGATCAGGTTTTTTTAAAAGCTAGAGATCCACCTAATTCTACATAACTCAATAAAGATGAAAATGTTGGCCAATCAGTGGGTTAAGTGAGGAAAAAATTGTAACTGAGATTAAAAATTGGATAGTTTTGCAAAATATCCACAAACTGGACATAGACAGAAAAGTTAAAATACACTAAACTTGATGATATAAAGTTAGATCCTTGAAAAAAATACAAGTACGGTTAAATAGCTGTGAAAAGATGTTTAGGATTCCAGAGAGCCTGACTTCAAGAAGAAATGTCCACATGTAAGGTTTGTAAACAATGGTCATTAATAATCTCCTCGTGGTAAGCCTGGAATAATTATGTGATCATATTCTCAGCATTTAAGAGTCGGTAAATTCAATATGTGAATCATTTGGGGGCAGCGAGGGTGCTGGAGAGAGACATGGGCTTGTAGCTGAGTAACTGAGTTTCCTCACTGTGGCCCTGGGCTATTTCCACTGTCTTGAGCATCAGCTCTTTCTTGCATTAGGTAGCAGCATCCTCCTGGGTCGGCTCCCAGGCATTGGGGGTGACTGTGCTGAGAGATACTGATCACCCAATCCTGGAGGCTAGAGCTCTGGGCTCCTTGCCCCAGAAAGCTGGAGTTGCACTGATTACTCCTGCAAGCTGAGAAGCACTATCATTTACTGAGCCTTTCCTGTTGAGAAAATGGCCAGGAAACACTAATATAAACAATCATGAGCTCCTTTCTTCCTCTGAGGCGCTGATTCTCTAATTCCTCCCCCTGCTTATCGCTGATGATATGGCTCTAAATTGCCCTTTACATATTCCTCCAGGTCGAAAGCAAACTGAACTTCCGGAATCTGATGGACTGGACCAATCCAAAAAAAATGAGGCCTCAGTATGTGGAGGTCTTCCTTCCTCAGTTCAAGATAGAGAAGAATTATGAACTCAAACGTCATTTAAAAGCCCTGGGGCTGAAAGACATCTTTGATGAATCCAGAGCCGATCTCTCCGGTATCGCTGCGGGAGGTCGTCTGTATTTGTCCAAGCTGATGCACAAGTCCTACATAGAGGTGACAGAGGAGGGGACAGAGGCCGCAGCTGCCACAGGAAATAACATCATGGAAAAGCAGCTCCCTGAGTCCACGGTGTTCAGAGCCGATCACCCATTCCTATTTTTCATCAGGAAGGATGACATCATCCTATTTAGTGGCAAAGTCTCCTGCCCTTGAAAATTCAATTGGTTTCAATTACAACTATGAACAAGGAAACATCAAGGAAACACTGCCAGTGACAGATCTGAGTTCCTCTGGAAGCAAGGGAGGGTTCCTTTGCATTTACTTCCTTCTAACAGTGCTTGGCAGGTGATTTTGGTGACTTGACTCTTTTCAGGCACCTGGTCGATTGTCCCAAACTCAGCTCTTAGCATTTCTACCACCATCTGCCATTTCTAATCTCATTGTCTATCTACCCCCGCTCATTCTTACCTCTCCCCCATAGCCACTACTTGCACACAGATTTGAGCATCATCTGGGAATTAGAGGGTGGACTGTAGGTCATGGCAATGTAGAAGCAGACCTAGGGCTCATTCCTGAAACTCTATACTTATCATAGATATTCTAGTTTCTTTGTAAACCCCAGGGAGTAAACCCAATTGCTGGAAATAAGTGTGAAGGATCATTCTCCCTTGCTGACCTAAGAAACCATTAGCATTTGCTTTAACACATCTTATTTAAAGCCAGGGTCTAATCTGGATGCTAAAAATATGCATTCGATTACATGCAAAAAAATGAAACACCATCTTACACCTTACACAAAAATTAACTCAAAATTGGACTAAAGACATGGATAAAAGAGCTGAAACTACAAAATACATTGAAGAAAACAGGTAAAACAATTCATGATATTGGCTTCAGATTCATTGTTGGGGATTCATCTGCAATGGCAAAGAAGCAAAAGCAAATATAAACAAATGGGATCACATCAAACTAAAGAGCCGCTGCACAGCAAAAGAAACTATCAAAACAAAAAAGACACCCTACTGAATGAGAGAGAATATTTGCACATAACACTTTTGACAGAGGACCGATATCCAACATATATAAAGAGCTCATACAAATCAACTAAAGAAAACAATCAAGAAATGGGCAAAAGAGCTAAACAGATACTTCTTCAAAGAAGACATACAGATGGCCAATAGGCACATGAAATGAGGCTCGTCATCAGTAACATAGGCATATACAAATCAAAACCATGATGAGATACCATCTCACATCCTTGAGAATGATCTGCCTCATAAAAGACTAGGAGCAACTACCGGTGAGGATGTGGAAGAAAAGAACCCTCATATACTCTTAGTGGGAATATAGACAAGTCTAGCCTGTATGGAAAACAGTATGGAGGTTTCTTAAAATATTAAAAATGGATCAACCATATGATCCAGCAATTCCACTCCTAGGTATCTACCTGAAGAATATCAAAATACTAGTCTGAAGGGATTGAAGGGATCTATGCCCTCCTTTCTTCACGGCAGCACTATTTACAAATACTAAGCTATGGAAACAGCCTAAGTGCCCGGGGGCAGAGGAGTGGATCAGAAAAACATGGTATATTTCTCTATAAAGGAATACTATTCAGCTATAAAACAGATGCACTCCTGCCATTTGCAACAGCATACATGGGCTGGAGAGGATAATGCTAAGTGAAATAAGCTAGAAGGAGAAAGACAAATACTGAAAGATCTCACTTATATGTGGGGTGTAGAGAAACATAACAAAAGTCAGTCAAACCAACAATAAACTCATAACATCTGACTGCAAAATTGAGTCAATAAGAGGGGGAGGGTGGCGGCATGGGAGTGGGGCAGGAAATGAACCCAATGGCAGATGGTGGGAGATTGTTGGGGCACTGGTGGTGGGCGGGGTGTGAAAATATTAATTTGTGGAGTTTTGAACCTATAACTCCTAGAGCAAATACAGGATGTAAACTCATTTCATGTCAATAAACAAATTTGGAAAAAAAAGAAAAAATATGGATTTGGGATTGGGAGGGTCAACCAGTACATTGCATTAATTTCAAGTTTATATCTTTTAGTTTCTCCTTAATAGAGACAAAATGTATATAGTTTTCAAAGATCAAATACCTTTTCACTATTACCAGTTTTTATTTGCAGTATATTATTTCAGATGCTGTGTAGTTTCAAAGTTTTTTCTCTAATTTATCACATTAAAGAAATGTAACACACCTGGACACTGTGATTGCTTTCTTCTGCCTCATTGTGGGACTCTCAGCACTTTATTTCCTAGACCTAGCAAAGCAAGGAATGTAAAAAGAAGCAATATATTTTAAATATAAATCTGATTTGGTTCAATGTTACTAACTTATTGCACATGAAGTTACATTTACAGATACTATGTCAGCCTTCTTAAATGGAGTTTATTAAAGAAGTAGAATTGAGGAGTCAAGGCCTGAACAGCCTCCAGAGAGGCTGGGAAAGCTGCTGGGACTCTGCATTTCTAGGAGGATTTTATACAATTTGCAAGGGACACATCTCAAGGATCCATGCACAAATACAAGAATTTAAATATCTATTTTTAAGAAGTTCAAAAATCTGTCGAATATCAGCCATAGAGCCACTGGTTAAAAATATTCTAGGCATCCCTAAATGAAGCATTCCAGATGGAGTCATTCATTGTGGCACACAGAGAATCACGAGCAAGGACCAGGTGGGTGCAATTGTGGAAATGGGATCCAAGGGTCACCACTCACTATGATATGTGCGGTTAAACATCTAGGACAGTAGACAGAGACACGCCCTCACTCCTAGCTATTAATCAGACTCTTTACAGACAAAAGAAACCAGCAAACGTTCTTTTGTTAACAACAGTTTACAAGTGTGCACAGTAGCCACTGAACAAGTTCAGTCATCTCCATACAGTCACCTACTGAATTATTAGCTGTTCCTGGAGTCCCTGAGAGAGCAGCAGCTATACATGAACCAAAGTCTCTGTGAAGCTGATAGAATTCTTTCTCCATTGTTATCCCCTCTATACCCCCTTCTTCCTTGCAGCTAAGTCTTCCTCAAAATGGAAAAGTGAAATTCTCTAAATTGGTGGACAATCTGACTCAAGCTGTGTGTCTTTGAATCTAAAGAAGACTTTGCAGCCACTCACCTCCAGGGCATGGGGACCCTGCTCCTATTCTGGCTGCACTAGTGTTCCTGCCTCTCCTGGGCACCTGGATTTGGTTCTCCCAGAGGTGGGGGCTGTTCAGAGTGCTTCAGGAGGGGCCTGACTCTTTGATTGGGCGAGGTCTCCTGAAGAATATAGCTCATCCAGGCTGCTGCTCACTGAGGTTATGAATAATTAGTTTGTTCCCTCCCCTCCCCCTTCTGAGGCCCTGGGAAGGCATGGAGCCCTGGCGCTGTTTCTATTCACCTGTATGGATTTTCTTTTCACCCTTTTATGGTGAAGTCAAACACCCCTGATTGTTTCGGTAGGGGCAATTGCCGTTTTGTTTTGTGAAGTTTATACTCCAAGCTTTTATGGCTGTGTATGCGATGATTTCACGAAATTCACTATCAATCCTCGAAAATTTAATAAGGGGAATGATTTGGATGTGCTTCCGGTTGTAACTGTATTTGGAATCCGTTTTTATGTTACCTACACACATGGGTCTATGTAATAAAAATACAGAAGATCTAAATCACATCTTTGTCTCTCGATTGCCTTGAGTTTTCTTCTTTCACTAATTAGCTTCTTCTTCCCCTGGATGTGCTTGTAGTGTGAACACCATTTTATTGATGTATGTGTGCCTGTAATTTGATAAGAGGAGCTAGTGTGAGTGACTGGATTTGATTTTAATCGCACACTTTTTTTTTCTATATCAATTTTGTAAATGGCATTTCCAAGATCACCAGTACTTTAGCTCAACCAATAATTTTGGGGAACTGGAAGAAATAGTTTTTAGTAGGAATCTTTCAATATGCCTTCATCATCTCTGTTTATTATAGATGGAATGATGAACTAGTGGAACAGTTTCTCCTTGGTCAGGATTAAAAGTGAAATGAATTTGAAATACTAAAGTCAAACTCTGAATTTAATAATATGTAAACTTGAGAAAAATTAAATGCAAATACTCTTGTGTTCAATTTTATTCTGTTTCCATCTAGGTGAAGAATAGTTCCCAAATGTCTTGCCCGTAGTAGGTGCTCAATAAATACAGGTGTGTGGAGAGGGAGAAATAGTGGACAATGAAGAAGCTGTGAGAGAGTCTTTACAAGTCAACTTGGGTTGAGTATGACTGAGTCACTCTCTCCCTTCCAAGGGACAGACAGTCGGATGACTGGTGTGCCACCTACTCCGGTGCATGATTCAGGTTCTGCAACCAGAGAAGGCAAAACGTTTGGTGCCAAGGGCATAAGTCAGAGAGTAACCAATGATATTATCAGCCAGTAAATGATAATAAGATTCACTTATGAACACAACCCTTCATTCTTTGACATGTATTTCCTGCTGTGTTTCACAACTGGGGGTGGAGGGTTAAACATAACTAAGGGACAATACAAACGAGTAAGCCTGGATTAATTTTTAAATACTTTTTGGAAGCTCAGCGTGCCTTCTTACACCAGGATTATCCAGGTCAATAAGTGCACGCTTCAGTGAGTGTCTACACTGCAACTTCATACAACCCGACTTGGGCTCCTGCCTAACAGCACGGAAAGTTTTTGTTTTTCAGATCCACCGTTCCTCTTCAAAATAGTATCTTTTAAAAAATGATAAACTAAACAAAGAAGTGGAAAAAGAAAGATGCCTTTGAAAACGGTCCTTTGTTCCTATTATAGATGCTTCATTTGAATGAATTAAAAGGAACTGCAAATTCTTGTAACACAAAAGTAGATCTGTTTCCTCCTTTGTTGCTCTGATGACAGACTGCCTTGGTCAAATGAGGACTAAGTTTAAGGCAATAAATCTGGTTATTTAATCCACTGTCTTTTGAATCTAAATAATAGATACCCTCAGTCAAACTCTTGTGTGTGCTGTTTTAAAATATATTGAGGTTTGCAAATGAGAGATGACAAAATGGGGACTGTCAAAAAGTTGAGGTTATGGATTATTTGGGAGGACTGAGGGTGTGCTGTGGTGATGTCCATCTGGAGAGTGTGAGCCTCCACATCACCATGCTGCAAACCCTCGTCACCTCAATGAAAAGTAATAGAGCAAAAAATTGACAT